ATTGGAAAATATGGGAGCGTACCCTTTCAAATCTGCACCAGCACAGAACAGACGACCAGCGCCGGTGACGATTAAAGCCCAAAGATCAGGCTCAGTATCGAACCAGCTACCGAAGTGATGGCGAGGAGTATGAGGGAGCTGTCATCCATTCCAATGACAAATGTTTTCAACTCACTCAAGTACAATAAGTAAATCATCACGAAGGCCAGGGGTCATTGAGTTCATCTGGTTCGGACGGTTGAAAGTGATGACGAGGAGATGGGGCCGAGGATAGGACAAAATGACATTTGGCCCATGGCTCGGTGGTGGAGTTTTGAGACTCTTGGGAGGAGCGTCGGACATGGGGAGCTTGGAACGGGGCCCGTTGGCCCGTTGCAGCTTAAAGAGCTGCGGGGAGCCGGAACGGCACCATGCTATTCCGGATACACCTTGAATTAGTGATAATGATCAATTTATGACTTAGACTGGTCACCGGCTTACAACTGCCCGAGAAGGTTGCACACAAGCGAGTGTAAGACTTAGCTAATAAGTATTAGTAGCGGCGACAAGCGCTAATACTGACTCTAAAGCCTGGTGCGCTACATATGTAAAGAGTGGTATCACCAGAACAATGGACAGCCCATCAAGGCAATGTGGCTCCGTATCTCATGAATCAATCATGGAGGAGGGGAGGGCGTCCGAACCACAGGGAATAGAGTATATGTGAGGGTAAAGCAACAGTGAAAAGATCGGCAAGGTTGTACCTGCTTGCCGAGAGAGTTTAGGATCCCACCTGGATCATAATAGTGTTTAGCCGAAAGGGGGCAGCGGAAGAAGCCGATGCAGACGGATGATTACAGAGCAAGGAATTCCCCTATAAGCCCATAAATCCCACTAAAGGTAGAAGGAAAATGGATTCTCTTTCGAACAAAGCCAAAGGTGGGCAGAGCCAAGGATTGCTGTGGGTCGAATGCGGAGGGATTCATGGATGAATGTAGTGTTGCCACAACTTGCGGCTTGAGCCGACTCAAGTCGCAAGCCGCAGGCCTCGGTTCAAACTGACTCCGAGTCGCAAAATTGCCAGCAACATAGACAGTGTAGTTTCTATTATACTTTATGCTCAAAACAAACCTCAATGGTGGTGTAAACCTGATTTTTACATTGTGAGAACGAAAAAAAATTTGGCGCCAGGCTATTTGATAAGCAGTTGGAATTGCCATATATGGCCATATGCAAAGTACCGACTGGCTGTGATTGTGCTCAGCGCATCCATTCATATCTGGTCCCGCAATAGATCTCGAGATGCAAAGGTATGGTTTCGGAATCTCAGGATTGTATTGGGCTCGTACTTGTGCCTGTTACCTACAGTTTTGGTGAGTATATGTGTATCCTTTAAGTGTACTCTCTCGCATTTGAAATTCCTTGGTCACAATCAAGTTGAATGAGCCATCCCAAAGGCCGAATTCGCAATAAGTTCCCCAATAGATACTTTTTTAAGACCTCCGCTGTGTGGGCCTCTTGAATAAAGAAAGCCTCCTAGGATTGTATTTCTGGACTCAATCACACTTTTCGAAGGATCAACCTCAAAGACATGTGCAATGTAGTCGAGGGTTTGGGATATTCAACAAGGACACCTAGAGAATACAAGGCCACCATCAATATCTTCATCTCCCGATTAATTTTGGTGACACAAGGGTGGGCTCATGATGGTTCACGGAAGACATAGGTAGGAAAGTTATTTGGATGGACCAGCAAGTAAACTGGCAAGGGCCCACTAGGTCGTGGCGGCAAAGTAATGACTTCCCCTTGCATCAGCGGCAACTATTAGTGCACATGTACATTATAGAAATGATAAAGTCGGTGTTGAACAGAGCATAAACAAAACAAAACACAAAGAGCGCCAGCGTTGATCTGCCGGCAAAACACGTACAAGCACTTCTCAGGTCCGCCCTCCTTTGTCGGCTCTTTTGACACGTTCGCAACCACGAACCGTTTTCCTGGGTCTTGCCGAGCTCCGACTTAGAACGCCTAACTATGGTCTCCAGTGTTGAGTTGGGTGGTGTTGAGTCCCAAGACAGCTTAGATGAAATGAAATTTCATTTCCGCCGGCTGCATATGACCGAATCCTAATCCCAAATTGGGGTTTTTTGCGTATAGGCTGTCAATAGGAGTGACATGCAGTGACATGGGTTCCCTTTCCTATTTTCTTCTTCTTCCTAACCCTCCTCTCGAGAAATGGCCCTTGGCGTGGATGTAGGTTCGCAGATGCATAGAAAAGCGACTCCAGTCATCAATGAGGTGCCCCTCACCCCACCTCAATCCCCCCCTCCCGAAAAACCCGCTGACAACCACCTGGAGCCCTCCGATATCCACATTCCCGATAACTACGTCCAACACACGCTAGCTACTGTTCCCCCTCTTCCTCCAATCAAGCTAAGGAACATCCTAAAGGAGATTCAATGGATTAGTTTCACAGCCCTGACCGTCACCCCGATACTTGCTGTCTATGGCGCATTCACCACGAAGCTGCGGTGGGAGACAGCATTATTTTCAGTCTTCTGGTACCACGTCACTGCGTGCGTTGGATACTAACGTGGTTTCATGTACACCATATCACTTACCACACCTCGTTCCCACAGTCTGGGTATTACTGCGGGGTATCATCGTCTCTGGGCCCATCGCGCGTACAAAGCGTCGAAACCCTTGGAATGTTTCCTTGCTATAGCCGGCGCTGGCGCTGTCCAAGGCTCTATTAAGTGGTGGTCTCGTGGACACCGTGCCCACCATCGTTATACCGATACTGATCTTGATCCTTACGGGCTCATCGTGGTCTCCTTTGGTCTCATGTTGGCTGGATGATTGTAAAGCCACGTCGTAAGCCTGGTGTTGCCGACGTCAGTGATCTTGCGAACAACCCCATTATTCGTTTCCAACACCGCTGGTACTTGGAGCTGCTTATTCTCGTCGCGTTCGTTATCCCTACCATCATCCCCGGTTTACTCTGGGGTGACTATCGTGGTGGATACTTCTACGCCGGGGCTGCCCGTCTATTGTTTGTCCACCACGTACGTTACAGCATATTGCTTGCTTTATTTATTTTCGGCTAACGGACTGGACTACATAGTCTACGTTCTGTGTGAACTCTCTTGCTCACTGGCTGGGTGAGACGCCATTTGACGACAAGCACACTCCTCGAGACCACTTTATGACTGCGCTCGTGACTATCGGCGAGGGTTACCATAATTTCCATCACCAGTTCCCAATGGACTATCGTAATGCGATCAAGTGGTACCAGTATGATCCTACGAAGTGGTTTATCGCTGTCTGCCACAAGCTCGGGCTCGCTAGTCACCTGAAGGTCTTTCCGGAGAACGAGGTCGCGAAGGGGCAGCTTACAATGCAACTGAAGAAGCTTCGCGCGAAGCAGGATCGCTTGACATGGCCCACGGATTCCAAGGATATCCCGGTCATCACCTGGGATTCATGTGACGCACTTCGCTGTTCAGTCGTTCGATATCCTGCCGTCTGACTCTGTGATTTGGTAGTCCAAGAACAATCCAGGGATCGACCTCTAGTACTTGTTTCCGGGTTCATTCACGATGTTTCGGCTTTCCTCGATGAGCATCCTGGCGGTCGTCATCTTCTCATCAGGAATATCGGGCGCGATGCCTCTACGGCGTTCCACGGTGGCGTCTATGATCATTCGAACGCTGCTCACAACGTAGGTTTATTTATTTGGAAGGCCCTTCCTAATGCCGTGGCTCATGTTTTCTTCTACTTCCAGTTGTTGGCTATGATGCGCGTCGGCGTTCTTCATGGTGGTCTTGAACAAGAATCGGAGAAGCGGTGCCACCATCCCAGAAGCTTCGGGTGCTGAAGGCCTCGGAACTATCGGTCGCTGCATCATCACGCCCTCCCTCATCGATTGTCTCGTCGGTTGGCTACTCTCCGGCAGCCCGGACAGCGCGACCTGTGATTTCAGGCTTAGGGCTCGGGTTCAAGCATGACAATAATACAGAGGCGAAATCATAGCCTCCCTTTACTGCACGTTTTCGTATAGTTTTCACGACCGATTATAGCATTGCCCGTACACGTATATCATCCACGCATTCTCTCTGTTTCGCTTGCATCGTTGCGCCAGGTTCTAGCCTCCGCAGCGTTACGGTTGGACTCTCGAAAAGTACCCCGAATTCCCTTATGATACCAAACTAGCCTTGTTCAATTCTTCTCTGGGTCATCGCACTTTTTTTTTTTTCAACTTTTTCTAGCTTGATGCTCTACAAGGAAATGACTGGTTGAAATTAGGTGGACAGAAATGAGCACAATATTTGTGAAGCTCCAACAAAAACATGAATAAAGCTGCTCAATCCTTGTGAAAGCCTCCCGAAGGGGACGGTGAAGAAATTCCCCAATGAACTCCAGTGTTTTTCCAGGGCCACTGGATTCAAAAAAAGTTATGGAGCTTCATGCAGGTCACAGGCTGTGACTTGTGACCAACCTACTGATCTGACGAATTCTATATCCTGTAACCGGTCCTATTTGCAAGCAATACGAAGACACTCTTGCTCACGAAAGTTCATGTAACTGGCATTGCAACTCTCCCCCAGCCAGTTTGTTTGTTCGGCTGCTCGGGATGATTGTAAATACAGTTGCTAGACCAGAAAGTCCGATCGGCCAGATTGGGCGCCGGCAACACACAATTCACACACGCAGTGTGCTAGTTCCCGTGTATAGTTCCTTCCAGAGATCTTCCCAGTGTATTTTATTTCTCCTCAAACTTCTCGCACACTGTACGCCACCAACGGTCAACGTGCTGACCAGCATGAGGTGACTGTGTTGATACATTGGCATGGTTGGTATATGCCCCCTCATCACCATATGATTATGAGTGATATTAGATCAACAAGAAATGTCTTTTCTATATATGGAACCGATTCAGTTTGTGGCCGCTTGGCACGGACGGAGCAGTTCGGTTGATACGTCACGCCTGAAGGGGGTCGCTGGGGACTTGAGCTGCTGTCGGGGTGTTGGCTCAGTTGGTAGAGCGCTTCCTTAGCATGGAAGAGGCCGTGAGTTCGATTCTTACACACTCCATCGAAAGTCGTCGTGCTTCTTTTTCTTTCTCACTCCTTACCGTCTTATGCTGTCAGTACGCAGAGAATAGACATTGTTCTCGGGGTCAAGTGTTGTCGCTAGTCTGGCCCATTCACATTGAGGGTACATCTACAGTATACTGCGTCTCCTTCGGAAGTTTTTACCCCTATCCCTTAGCTCTGAATTACAGTATCGGTTCCAGATTTAGATATTCTCTTTGTGAAGCCATCCGTTTTTAGCTTAGGATGAAGCAACGGAGCTAGAATTTGGATCATTAGATGGTCATTATGGGCGCTGGTTCTTGGCTGTACCTACAGAGGAGCAAGTGATTCTACAGGACACCACTGAGGAAAGAGGTACAGCACTTAGTCACTGTACTCACATAGCAAGTGATCAACCAATCAGAGCGTTCCATTCGTTGGCGGTTTTGCATCGGGGGAGGGATATTTGGTGCATATATTGAGACAGTTTCAAGAACTTGCTCAGTGCTCACAGATCAGTCTCAAACTCAGGAGGTGTATTATGCAAAGCACATAGGGTACCCAAAAAATGGTCGAGAAGAATTGCTTGGTGTAGATCAGACAATAACAGTGACCCGTTCGAGGGTGTTCCTAAAAAGGAAATACCTAGCTGGAGTGTGTAAGAATCGAACTCACGGCCTCTTCCATGCTAAGGAAGCGCTCTACCAACTGAGCCAACACCCCCGCCATATTCCGATCCTCCCGTGTCCCACCTCATCGGCCATGGTAGTCGTATGCCTTTGAAACCATCAAAATAGTCCGTCCATAAACATAATCGGGTCGGTTTACTAAGGAACAATTGGAATGGTCGGAATCTTATTCCTCGGCAATGTCCGAAGATTTGTTTGGCCACCTTTGTGGTGACATAACATTTGCTTGCCATGGACGAGGACGAGGATGCTTTTCTCTATGGGGACTCAGAAGTTCCCGAGCCTTTGTCGACTGTTTCAGAACCTCCGCCCGAGTCTGAAAGTGGTCATCATGATCTGCCGTTAGAGATCGCCAATGGGGATGAGGAGGAAGAGGAAGAAGAAGAGGAGGAGGAAGATAGCGAGTCGGTTGGTCATGACCTGTTACATTATGATGCAGCAGTACCTCAGACCGCCTGGCATAATGTAGGATGTTGAAATCATAATGGACTCAGTTCAGGTCCCTCGTTCTCGAGACTTTCGGTGTGTCCCACTCTTTCAGTGAGCTAAATAAATTCGTTTTTACTTCGACTCCGTACTCTCGCAGTACAAATCAGGCGCCTCGTGGCTCTGCCTCACGAACGCTCTCAGGGACTCAGACGCGTCGTGAGCACCATCTATATACTTAAAGTAATACCGAACTTATCTCTTTCATACTGCAGCGGTACACCTTACAACTGAGTATACACCCCGAGAACGCGGGGCACCACCCACATCCCATGCTGCTCCCCCTGCTCCTTCCGCTGCTGCAGAGACACCACCCATTAGAACTTCTTCTCCCGTCCCTCTCACGACCACCCCGGACACACCTCCGGTCACCACTCTGACCGTCGCACCTTCCCTAGGCGAAATAGATGCCCGCCCAATTACAAGCTCGTCTACTGCACCAATTATCGACCCCACCGCACCTGGGATGTTTTCTGGTATCCCTATCTATGACATTGAAATCCAAGCACTCTCCGAAAAAAACTGGCGAAGACCCGGCAGTGATATTAGCGACTGGTTTAACTACGGTTTTGACGAGATTAGTTGGGAGGCATACTGTGTTCGCCGGCGCGAGCTCAGCGGGTTATCTGCTGATCTTAAAACCAACGTGCTGGTGAGATACTCGTTCCTTCCAACTCGTCCTGGCTTTAGAGCTCCTAAAACTTCAGTGTGCATTGCGTAGAACCTGGCTGGCATGTCCGAGGAAATGTTGACGAATTCTGTCCCTCCAGAAATGCGATCCATGCTCATAGCGCAATCCGCAAGGATGGGTGTCCAGCAACAAATGTCGTTCCCGTCACAGTTTGGTCTTCCTCAGCAACAGAGTGGGTTCCCGATGCAGATGATGAACCCGGGAATGAATATGACGCCGGATATGATGGCGATGGGGATGGCACAGCATATGGGGATGGGGAACGGCATGGGTGTTGGCGTGAGCGGCGGGATGGGTATTGGCGATGGGAGTGGGTCACAGGGCCAGAACGCGATGGGTGGTCCCGGCGGCTCCTCGGGCATTCCCCAACAGCAACAACCTGGGATCGGAGACGATGCCTCCCAAATTCAGGGACTGGAATCATTCGTCAATCCCGCACAACAATTCATCCAGCCAATGGGAATGAATGCGGGGGGTGGGGACTTTTCTGGGATGCAGGTTTGTGAACCTTACCTGGTGTTAAATACTCGTTCAGGCTTTTGATATGGATCACATTGGTCGTGGTGTCGCAGGACGCTGGCAGCATGCAACAACAGCCAGGATTCGTCGTCGATACTCCGCCCGTAGTTGCACCTCCCACTGGACCTATGCGAGGTCGAGGGCGAGGGATTCCACCATCACGACCTTTCGGTGGAGGCGTGCCACTCGGACCAGCAGCCTCCCGGGCTAGTGGCGCTGCAACACCCATGGCCATGGGGAGAGGGAGATACGCTGGTGACGGGAGTAAGCACATGTCCTACACATGTTATGTTATATCAGAGACGTTATCAATGCTAATTATACCAGCCCCTCAACTGCTCCCAAAGCGTCCAGCGTCTCCATTACCACCCAATGTCCCGACCGGTCCTCGAAATCAGCAAGCCCGGTACAAAGATCGCGATGGGGGAGCTGCTCAGGTGGATGGGTTAGATTACGGTGGCGGTGGCGGGGGGAACGGGAGTGTTGTTGGTACCGAGGAACGAGATCGGGACGAGCGGAAACGTGACAAGACACCACCGTCGGGACCTCGTAAATCTCCACCAGTGGGTCCAAGAAAGGATAAAGAAAAGGAAGAGAGGCGGGCGAGAGAGGAAAGGCGACCAAGTCGAGAAGACCGCCATGAAGATAAGGGCAGCCGGTTAGTCCAGCGAACCCTCAAAGACTGGTCTTCCTCATTCTACCATTCTAACCCTTTTATCATTCTTTTAGGAAACGCACACATTCAGAGGACTATGAATACGAGCGTGACAGTAGGTCATCCAAGCGTCGTTGACGACTGCTTGTGTAGGGTAATTTGCGAGTTTTGGACTTTGTTGTTTGCACTCTCACGATTTCCAGTTTCAGCCACCAAAAGTTGCAGCAAATAGTGTGAGTATGTATATATACAACAGACCAAGTATGCAGTTACGTGAGCATTTGAGGCTTGCGCTTTTGTGCTGTATACGATATGAGAAGCTGGAGCACGCAGTAAACAGCTAAGACGAACCTATCGTGATCTTGTCTCCGAGGGAAAGAGCGATCCCTTGTGTCTTGCTTCGTATCCGCACGTGTCCTTGAATAACACCGGTGCCCTCGACCTTCTCAATGCTGAGATTTGCCAGGGCATCTTCGCCTGTGAACGTAGCTAGATGAGCCAAGCCCTACGACACTTATTGGTGCAATAGTTCACCGAACAGGCTCCGTGCATAGAGATTTGCAGAAAGGAAGTCACAATCGCCTGACAGTGCGGCGTCTGCAGTCAAGCAAGCCATATTCGTAGACTTCATGATGTGTTGAAGGTATTCCCGCAGATCGCTAGACCGAATATTTAGTACTTTAGCGCAGGAGTAGATGAACAATTAGACGTGGCATACGTGATCCCAGTGTTAACATTGACTCGATTCTCCCATTCGAATTCAGTCCACATGTTTCGGAACTGGAAAGAAATACCTTAAGTCATGAGCATTCTCACCAATAAACAACCACCTCACGTGGGTCTCCGTGCACTGCGCAGGTTTGATATAGTCCATAATATCAATGTGAATGTCGCTTAATACGACTGTGGATTCTGACGTCCCAGACTCCCATATGATATTACCAAAGATAACGCCAGTTTCCGTGGAGGACACCTAGTCAAAACCGAAGTTAGTGCGTGCGAGGGAAGGTAGTCACTAGGACAGGCCTTGATTGTAGCCTTCACACTATGGAAGCTATGGGGAGCGATAGTGTGGATTGAAGGTCGTTCCACAACTTTAAGGTCACCGAGCGTAGCAAAATCGATGCAGAGATTTTGCAATGTATCCGCAGTCTGGTTGACAATGAGCACATCTGGAGGCGATATCAGTAATCAGGAACACGTTCAGGCCGAGCTAATGTTAAGACGTACCAAGCAGAATGTCGAATTGATGTACTTTAACATAGGCTTCGGCGTAAACAGCATCGGAAAAGCCTGCAAACAAAGCGTTGACCAATGAAACCCTCACAACTAACATCAAATACTAACCGGTAAGCTGGACAACGCGACTTAGATTCGATATGAAGTCCTCCCTCACGTCATCTGCACCAGTGGCTCTGGAGACGTCCCTCTCGTACTGAAACATGTAAGCCATGAATGAATATACGTCATGGCGATCATATGGGACCACATACGTCTTCCGAACCATCCACAGTCCGCCTTCTTAGAAAATTGACGGAACGAAAGGACATCGTCGACCTGAATTGCGACCGCCTTGTTTTCCTTTTCTTTCAATTCAAGGGCTTTTTTCTGCATCATTATCCAAGATTGAGGTTCAAATCATAGAGAGTCCTATCCAGAAGCGCACCTCTTCCGCGTCGACCATTTTGGCGTACGCAGCCTTGGTATCATGCAAGAAGATATCCGTAATAGCTGCCTCATCGCGAACCTCACTAAGAGTGTGTATACAGTTCAAGATGCGCTCTTGGGAGTCCTCGTCAATTGGTACTGCAGCGAATTTCGACTGCCCGACGCGCACGACAGAGGTCAAGATAAGCATTGCCTCCGCACGGAGGGAGTTGATGCCTTTCGTATCCGGTGAGATCTTCGAGAACCGTAGAACTAGCTTCGTAAGGGTAGATGCCAGCACTGCACCAGTGTAAAAATCTCCCTGGAGGATC